AAAGCTGCGTAGTGATTATTGGATAACCGGGAAAAGTTTGAATAAGCGCCTTTTCAAGTTCGCACACAACTAAACAGCAGGATAGCAGCTGTTTAGAAGCGTAAATGGAAGTGCAATAAGAGCTTGTTCCAACCGTCCCAACAGCTTTAAGTAGCTGACTAAGTTCACCAGATTTGTTTGTATAGAGGTTGAGTTAAGGTTGCCTCATATTATGCACTTGTAACTAAACCCAAACGGACACGATTCAACAGCGTACATTAGAACTAATATACACCATTGATAACTTTCAATCAGGCTGATCGCGCACGAACCCAAGATAATCTTAGCTGAGCGTTGCAACGCGTTAGTTGGAATAGATGGCACCACATGTAACGGAGATAAATTTTATAATTTTCACGTAATACACTTTTCATCACCACTTCTGTACTTTCAATTAACTCTTTTTAAAATCGAAATTCTAAATCTTTAGCATTTTCACAAGACCGAAAACAACGCAGCACAATAAAACACGTCATTTTCGCAGCATGGTCTGCTTCGATCTAATATGATTTGTTTATAGCTTACACAAACGACAACCACATTGTTACCAAGATTACTGAATTTATAAATATTTCTTATGTCTCATTCACAGTTCCCGGAAATTTGTCCAAGGTTTCAGAATATCATGTTGAATTTCTACAATATTCCGTTATGTAGATACTCCCTGAATACCACGAAATGCTTCAACACCTACCCATGCTTCTTTGAAGTTCCCTGAACTTCTACGTTTTTCCTTGCTCTTCAATGAAGTTTTGCGAAGTTGCTCGATTTTCTATTTAATTCGCTTATCTTTTGCAAAATCGCTGAACTACTAAACATTTGCTGACCTTTTATGAAGCTTCATAATTTCACTAATATTGTGTTCCCAAAAGATCCATAAAAATATAAATTCTGCGCTTTTACAATCACAACAGAACTCCTATAAAATTTGTTGCACTTCTGGAAAATCTATGCAGTTTCTGAAGTTCCAAAAAGTTTTCTTAGGTGCAATGAACCTTCAGAAAATTAATTAGGTTTCTTAAAATTAAATTAAATTCCTTAATTTTTTAAAAATTTCCCAACAATCTACGCAGTTTTCTTAAATCAATCTCTTAGGTCATAGCTTCTACGAATTCAAATTATTTCTAAAAAAGTCCCTGAACTTTCGTAAAAACTCGGTTTAAGAATCTGAAAGAGTTTACATCTTTCGTCACCCTTACCTTACTTACGAATGAGGCCAAGGCGTTGATGTTCTCTGCTGTTTGAAGAAGTCGTCACCACTCTACTCGATCCATGGCAATACGTCGCCAGCCTCGTAGTCTGCAAAGGGCCGGCAGGTTGCTTTCTACTTGGTCGATCCACTTTTGCCCGCTGCACGCCTCTTCTTCTTGTTCCAGTTGGGTCGCTTTGGAGAACCATTTTCATTGGGTCGTCGTGCGGTATTCTAGTCGCTCAATTTTTGCAATGTGGACGATGGATGATTCTCCCAGCAGCTGGTGCAATTCGTGGTTCATTCGCCTCCTCCACGTGCCGTCATCCATCTGCACTCCACCGTAGATGGTACGCAACACCTTTCGTACAAAAACACCAAGAGCTCGAGCATTTTCCAGGTCTCGTGGCCGTAGAGGACCACCGGTCTAATCAGCATCTTATAGATAGTCAACTTCGTGCATTGGCGAATTTTATTCGACCGGAACGTCCTCCGGAGTCCAAAGTAGGCACGATTTCCTGCCATAATGTGTCTTTCCATTTCTCTGCTGGTATCATTTTTGACCATCACCAGTGATGTGAGTTGATCACCTCAATTTCGTTACCATCAACCTGAACTAGAGGTGGGAGGCTTACATTGTCTTCCCTAGCAGCTATTCCTCTCATGTATTTCGTCTTCGATGCGTTGATGGTGCAACAACCCCAAATTCTAACATCAATCCTTATAGTGAATTATTCGTAATGGTTCTATACAATGTTAACATTAAATATCAATTGCAACAAGAATGGTATAACTCAACTAAACGCATAATTAACGTAAGTCAGTTAGGCAAATTTTCATATCAGCAAAACGCGTGATAAAACTTGTTAACACATATGATTTAGCCAAATGACAAAATTAAGTTAAAGTATGAACGACTGAATATGTTTATCAATAGTACAAAGTAGGGTCAAAAAGGCACAGTAGGAGTAAGAACCATAGTAAGAAGATCAAGTAAAAAAATTAGCAAATATAGAATAGATACCAGCGCATATCCTTGAGAAGAATCTCTTCGATATTATCCTCAAGCTGGTTAAGTAAGAGGGGATGCAAAGGCCTCAAATTCCAATATCAATCTGAGTAAGAAATTAACCAGTAATAGACCCCCATACGGTAGGAGCAAATACACAACTTAACAGCAGCAGTGACAATGTCGCACACTTCCAGGGTCAGTTGTTTATAAACAGTTGCTACCGCGTCGTCATCGATGCGCGCTGGCTTAACTAGGTGCTTCGAGAAAGGTCAAAGTAAACATTGGTGAGTAAGCATCATACATAGCCGTTCCTACCGCGAGGAGCATTAATTCTTGTTAAATAAAAACAGACACCGACTTTCCAAGAGAAAAACTATCTGTCTCGCTTTATATGTACATACTGGAGAAAAACTATTGTGTAGAGTTTAAGTAACAAATTCATGTATAAAAGGTTTCGAATAATAAAGAATCGGGGCAGTTGTTCTGATAAGTTTATTATCCGAGGTTTGCTAGGTGCGGACGAGAACAGTTCCAACCTCAGGATAACTGATTCATCAAAGAGCTTTTTCCATACAGTAGAAATGGAATTGCACTGTCTTTCATTTTGCGGAGAAAGAAAGACCACGCGAGTTGTTGCTCTACGTTGGGCACTTCAACACGGGAGTGAAACATGGATGCGCAACGGAGTATGGGCGCTTCAGATGGCATGTCCAATCCGCCTAGCTTCAGCCTTCAGTCTGATGTACGTCTCTGCCATCGTCTCAAAGTTCCGTGCCAGGATGTCGATGTCATCAGCGAAGCCAAGAAGCTGTATGGAATTCCTGAAGATCGAGCCACTCGTGTCAGCCCTTCACACCTTCTAACGTGATGTTGAATAGCAAACACGAAAGTTCATCACCTTGCCGTAGCCCCCTTCAAGATTCAAAGGGACTCGAGAGTGTGCCCGATACTCGAAACCCGTATTCGTGCATAATCTGCCATTGCTGATCTCGATCGATCTGCCGAATCACGAAAATTTGGTCCGTGCTAGCGCGGGTACCCATGAATCCCACCTGGTATTGCACCACAAACCCTCTTGCAAATGGTGACAGACTGCGACTTAGAATTTGGGAGAGTACCTTGTAGGCGGCGCTTAGCAGTGTGATCACGCGGTAGTTGCAGCAATCCAACTTGTCGCCCTTTTTGTAGATTGGGCATACGACACCTTTCAGCCACTCCTCCGGTAATATCTCCTTCTCCCAAATCTTGGCAATTACCCAGTACAGCGCTCTAGCCAGTGCTTCAGCACCGTTTTTGAATAGCTCATTTGGTAGTTGGTTGATCTACAACCAACTGATCTCCTCCTCAACTTCTTGAAGATCAGGGGCCGGTATCCTGACGTCTTTTGCGCGTGCTCCAAGGTCTGTTGCCGTGCCACCTTCTGCTGCATCACCGTTGAGGTGCTCGTCATAGTACTGATTCCACCTCTCAATAACCTCACACCTCCAGGATCGCAGTGTCCCTCCAGGCATTTAGCTGCGCCACGCTGCTCTTCCGTGGGTAATGCAGTTTCCATCTGCTGCACGTAATCCTGGGCAACTCCGACGTCCCGTAATTGCTCAATGTTGGGTCGCAGCGTACGACTTCCACGGGTGTTATGCACCGTCGAGAGTTTTGAGCACATGCAGTACGTGCGGACGTTGATAATGTCGGAGAATAATTTCGCGTCCATTAGACCGTAATCGATTTGGTTTTCTGTGTGTTGGTCAGGTGATCTCCAGGTGGCTTTGTGGATATCCTTGCGGGGGAAAAAGATACTTCGGAATACCTTTCGCCACCCGTAATTTTTAAATGTAGAAGTGAAGACATTGTGTCGATCCTCCATATGGTTTATGCATTGTCATTATGCTCATGTCCCCCTCCCCCCACCCCCTTTATTAATAATTCAAAAAGCAACTTCATAGCTAGGGTAGAATAGGGGACAAATGTACCGCGGGAAAAAACGCCCAATGTGGTTTTTGCTTAGCTAATGCACTCTTAATTCTGGGATTTTTTTTGTTCAGAAATGCTAGTTTAAGTTCTAAACTACCAATGTGGCTTGTCAAATTTATGAATTGAAAGCGAGAATGTTATGAAAATCGCATTGAGCCTTTTGCCCTGGGATGCATTTTGAACTGTTTTCCCCATACCAATCCCTGAAACAAGTACAGCTATCCCTCGAAGAATGCGTTGCCCACTGAGTTCTACCCACCGCTTTTTCCCGGTCTGTTTTCAACATATCGGTCTTGATTTCTTGAACAGCAGTGAGTAGATCTCACTGCATTTAGAACACTAAGTTGAGAGCATGCAATAAGCTAATATGCACTAAGCAATAAGCTTGAAATGCGAATAAGAAGAAGAATAAGATTTCAGTGGGTAACGCGTTCTTCGGGGAAAAACTTTATATCATCAAACCAACAGCTGTTCTGTACTAGGTAGCGCACATCATCCGTCTACAAACGTCAACTTCGTGCACAGTTTTTGTCGCCTTGAAACAACATTTCTTAAACCAGCCGCAACATAACTCAATTTGCCACCTACTTGCGTCATCAACCACCCAGCCATCGATACACGTATCGTTTAGTAAAAGACCACCGAAATTGGGTGATAAATCTAACAAAATAAGAAAACAAATCTCAAGCTGGCACTGACAGGAAAATCAAATAACAACAAACAAAACTTTTTGCTCACCGTTCACAAACATAAACATTCATAACAGTGCCATAAATATCCAATCTTTACCGTTTACTCCCACCAACATAGGTTAGCCGGCCGGTTCGAGGAGGACGAAGAAGCACTTCAAAGAAAAATGGAACGTAAAATGCAATTTACTTCTCGCAGGTTAGCGTGCTAAAGTTTTTCCGGCTGGTCTGAAAAGAAGAAGGAATAATGTAAGGAAGTGGAACGCCCCATCAAAATTGCACAGCTGACACGGTTTTCTAATTTAATAGTGAAGCATAAAAAAAAAACAGAAAATATCTGCATGAGAAGAGTTTTCCTCCTTTCCGTTCGCCAAATGCTACCAGAAGGATGACGATGACAACTTCGGGACTGATGCCGGTGGAATAAAAATCCTAGCGGTGCTGACACTGAAGCAATGCCAGAATGAAATATACTGCTCGCAAAGAGCAAAAGTCAAGCAGCTTATTTTCAACTTTCAAAGTTTCATAGGAAAACGGTTCTCCTATCACACTATTCCACTTTGACTTTGGAAAACCGGTTACCATCATTATCAATCTCGGAAACGAAAACGGAAAAAAGGCGAGTGAATTACTAGGCAGCGAAGCAGGCGTGGAAAAGCGAAAAGAATCTGAGGGAGAACCCTGCTGATGTGGGTGATGGGGAAGGCGATAAAAGTTTTTTTTTCTGAGAAAAACAGAACATTTTCCGCGAACACGGCCAATGAGATCGACCCAGATTTCGGCGATGAGTAAATTTGCCCAAATTTCAGCGATGAGTAAATTTGAGTAAACTCTTTAAAATTTACTCAGCGCTGAGTTCCTGCACTTTTAGCTATTTATTAGTAAACTGAACTCAAATTTGCGTCAATCTCATTGGCTGTGTAGGGCGGTAGTAAGGAAAATGCACTCTAATTGAATATCGGTACGCTCTAAGGCGGGTACTGTCGACATTGAGCTGGATGTTTACTAAAGTTTGGGAAAAGTGATTGAAGGTTTTTCTTTATTCATAAAGGTAATTGGAACGTTGTTTGCTAGGAATTTGAAATGCAAACCTTAGGAAGTAAGGCAGTTTGATCGACATACGTCTCACGCAGTTATAGATTGTTCAAGACTGAAGCAAATTTAGCTAATTAGAAATGTAACCCATGAGCGCTTCGCTAAAGAAATTGAAAGCCATGGCAGGGAGGAATCAGTATTGATTGATTTCTCAAAAGCTGTTACCTGTCAAAGAATAGCTCATGATATAAAAAAGAAGCCAACTCCAAAAGAGAAATGGTTTGTGAGTATTTCAGTTCGATTTTTCAAAAGAATGGCTCTTGTTGTATAGAAGGATTCAACTCCAAGCAGTGGCGTCGCGTCCACGCAATATAAAGTTATGCTCTTGGATTTTTTTTTTAATTTTATGGTCATATTATAGTTTTTTTTTTTGAAAAAAAATCAATTTTTTGGATACTAAATTGAATTATGTGGCGCTCTTGCATTAAGCCTGAACTGTCAACAATGTTACGATCTGTACGAGTGTTCAAGTTGAGAATGATTTCGGACATACGTCTTGCAAGAAGGGATGGATTGCATCGTTCATTGCTTTTTAATATAGAAAGCTACCGTTTAGTCCAATTATATTCTCAGTCAACCCTTTCAGTCCTAATGTTTACAAAAGCATATTTCAAGGAAAACTCTAACGCTTACGGCTATTTAAGTACAAAAAAATCTGGAACATTTAAACGAAAGCTGATGGGCTCACTCAGCAACACACTCACATAAGCAATAAAAGCAACAACTGCTTCAAAACGAACACGTCGGCCTTGATGTAAGTTTCGTCATCCATCACGATACAACACAATTTGGTGAGCAACTTCGTGTAAAGTTTCCGGGCGCGGGTTTTCGAAGGTTTGCACCTTATAAACATGTTACCCAGCACGCTTCATGATTTTCTGCACAAAACCGACTGACACCTCGGATTTTTTAGCGACATCTTGAATTGACATGTTTGGATGGTTCTTGGACTGTTGCACCACTATCCTGGCCATTTTACTGTCCATTGAACCACTTTTATGACCCCTCCCTTCCTTCCTTCAGTTGTATTTGCAATTCTAAGCTTTTTAGCGATCCATCGGTGGGACGCCTCTGGGTTTTGATTGTAAGAGCACACAAATTTTTCAAGGACAATTTCTTCAACGACATGACTGGAACTACTGTATAAATAACTATGAAACATGGCAGATGTAAACACTATGAATAAGATTTATTCAAATATTCAGGTTTTTTACTTATTCGGTTCAAAAGTTACAGAAGATTTTCGGTGTGCCATTTTTATCGAATACAACCTCTTAGGCCGCAATTCTAGTTGACTACTGTGATCAGAGCTGGCAAATGTCATTTTCAATGAAAGATCTCACGCGATATTTCCAGAGATACTTCTGTCACTATCATCGGATGAGAAAACATGTTAGAGATTTTCTTCAAATTATCATCGATTTTTTTGTCATGCTAGAACGTGACAGTGTCATTTATTGCTATTAAAGTTGCTTTTAGCGAGCAAATCTTAAAACTACACAGATAAAAATTTAAAATTTTTAATAAATAGTTATGTAAACATTCATTCACGTAAACTTGTATTTCATTTCACGCAACCGATCAACTTGTAAACAATGTTGTCTAAATCAATGGGCTTTTGTATACAATATTTGCTACATTGCATGAAATGTCTCAGAACTTTACATGATATAAAATGTAAACTTATATGATATGTGACGCTCCATTTGGTGTGAAGCCATACTTTCGTGTTCCTCTGTTGTGGCAAAACTAAATGATAATTTTGTTTGTCTCTTGCATTTTTTATTGGATGTTCACGTTCTTTGGCCAAACTTGCTCTAGTAGCCATGCGTTTTATTATTCCTCCAATATTCCTCCAATTATGCCAAATGCCATTCGGCTTCAATTCCATACTTTGATTTAAATTTACAAAGGCTAGCAAAATTTTTCCGGTTCTTGTACTGTAACGCGGCTCCATCGGATATAAAATAAATCTTGTTGATATTTTTACTTTGGTTAATGCGTAAAAAACTTATCATCTTAGAAATAAATAAGTTAACAGCTACTGAGTCATGCCTTAACTCTTCAGAAATTAAAATTAAACTTAAATGTTTAACGTGCATATTTTCTCTAAAATATATAACAAATGGATGAATGGTAGCTTGTTGGACATTCCAGTGATGAGACTGAACTTCATCCTGTAGCACAAAGCTGTAGTTTTCGGAAAAATCGCAAGTAACTAAAAATTCACCTTCTTGCAAACTATTTCGTGTAGTTTTCAAAAAATTAGATTGCTGTGTTTTTATGAAATCATGTGGTATCAAATTTGTCAATTTCAAGCAGAAAAATGAAACAAACTCGTCTGCAGGCTTTACAATCGTTTCTAAATCACATCTATCCGTGGTAACCCACTGTTCAAATGAAAGCTGATCAATGCATTTTTCCTCTAATTGTTTTAATAAAATGTTTTCTAATGCGGAAGAGTCTGGACAATCTTCACAACACCGTAGATAGCAATATGTTGTCTTGTTTTCACAAAGTAGGCTGTCAGTGAACGTTTTTACATCATTTAAATGGTTAAGTTTTTTCAAACTGTGTAAAATTAGATTGATGTTTTCATGCGTTGTGCACACGCAAACATTGTGGGTTCCAGAGCTGGTTAAAAGTTTACATTGCTTAGGGCGGAGTTTTGCAAATGAAGAGAATCCAATTTTTACATTGCAGTGAATTTCATTGAATCGTTTATAAGCTTCTCTCAAAGTCATCATTAGTAATCTTTTTTTAATGGCTTGTCGTTTTCCTTCTTTCTGCACAGACACATAATCTTTTTGACCAGGCATTGCCCGGCTTATATCATCATCTTCAAAAAAATTTATGACTGCCAATTTTGTTTCATCACTTAAGGCTGTGCCATATTTTGCGGTTTTTGACGAATGACCTTCCTTTATCAACTTAGCCTCTGTTGCAATATATCTACTAGCATTAAATTGATCCATAACTTTTTGGGTTGACCATGAATAAGGCAATAACGATAAAATTAATAATTTCTCACTTCTTGCAGTGGATGCATTGGAAAACTTTTCCTTCACGTTTTCTAAAACTTCTTTGAGTTCAACCAAGGCCTGCACGTTGAGTAGTCTAACTAAAAATAATAATCTTTAAAAATGATTTCATTGACATACAACTGAAGGTTATGCTTACTCAAATGGTGTTACACTTATTTCCTATGATAACTTTTTAAGATGTATGCGGTAAAAAGCAATCTTTGTGATCAACTGCTTGTTTTCACCATTCAAACTCATTTAAGTATCAGATCGATAGGTACAATTTCTACATTAGGTACAGACAAATGTTTTTGGTATTCACTACTACAGTGTTGACTATTTGACTTATTACCGTTAAGATCACTGATACAACTATGCAAAATTGAAGACAATGAATAAAACAGAAAATTAATCGCTAGTTTGGGCATCATTTCACTTTTATTTAGTTCTAGCTCAATATTCATCAAATGAATTTTTTAGTTTTGTTAGTAACGATACCTTTTCATGTTATCAGATGTAATGAATCCTAACTTTTCAATAGGGCCTGTGTAGAAAAACACTAATGAAATAAACATACCTATATTGCAAAAACGGCTTGCTTGATTGCTATGGTGTCTTGGGGAAAGTTGAGCAAAATTAAAATGCAATTCTTTAAAAAAACATACACGGTTGAAAAACATGTGTTTTTAACTAGGGGCAAGACAACTGTACTCAGAGTTAATATATTTGCAGTGAGTAAATTTGAGTTGCTCATATTTACTCAAAAACAAACAAAGTAGTCTAATATGTTTCATCAAATAATGTTCAAACAATCCTCGTCTGACAGAGTGTTCTGATTTCAAGATTTAGTTTTCATTCATTAAAAGATCCAAGTTAGATGGCTCTTGGCTAGAGGATGTTTAGGTCTCTTTTGCTTTCTAAGATGGGTGGCTAAAGTGTAATGTCTTTGAAGTTTTTGGTGATGAGGTGGTGTTAGTGTTTCCATATCCCAGCCATTTCAATAGCTGTAGACTCTTCCCGGGAATCGGGAAATATTTTCGGTAGT